ATCCTCATCCTCCTCCTGTTTTTCTCTTTTACGCTGTCTTTTTTGTTCGCTGTGCCTCGCTCGTGTCGCGTCGCCTCTCATCGTCGCGGTGGGAGCACTGGGGCTTCTTTATTCCTTCGTCTCCCGCTCGTCGCCCTCATCACTGTTACTATTTCCCACACGTCCCTTCTCTCTTTAATTAAAGGTATTAAGTCGCGACGAATTCTGCGCGATTTTCAATTTCGAATCGTCCGCGCGCCATTTTTAATTAAAACCCGAATGACTAAATCACGCCAGCTGTTTTCAATAAGAAATGCATTGAGCCGACGTCTCAACTCGACAGCCAAGACTCGGTGTCGTTAGATCGATGAAAATCCCGCGGAATTGATAAGTAGCGGGATAGTATGCAACGCAATCGTGATAAAATAATGTGGCATTTGGTAAATCAGAGAAGCACCTCACCCGAGGATCCGAAGCCGAGATCGCTGCTTTTGCCGGTATATAAACGTTGAAAAGAGTACGGATGATATGTGTATGTATATATATATATATATATATATATATATCTTTTTATATTTTTTATGCGAAAGTTGTCGGCCCTGTGTATTTTACGCGCGCAAAGGCGCGTGATTACGCGGCGCGAATGTCGAGAGACTCGATCACGTTTCCGCGCTCTAATTGTGCAACTGCAGAAATTCGTTAGACGGATGGCACGGCGATTGCGGTTCCATGCGGAAGAGAAAACACAGCGTGAGGCGCGTGCAAATTTATTTGTATCTATCATTTGGACGATGCTGCGATAACTTTCTTTTCATTGCACTTTTGTCGGGATAATTAATTTCATTTTGACACTGCACCAGTCAAATATTTAACATCCTATACCATGCACTTAATTAATCCTCGCTCCTTACGTAATGTAAGAGGCTGAAAATGCTTCGGTTGTACGAAGTATCTTGAGATGTTATTACAATTGGCGTTGAGTGGCTGCATTTTTTAAAGAAAATAACAAAATACGGCAGAAAGTCTTTGGAATGGGAAAGACTAAGGATGGTTGTCGAGCTAACATCGAAAGTATCAAATCGCTGAATTTCCCGTTTTTTTATGAAAAGAAAGTACTTTCGGGGATTTTCTAGATAATTGCGCGCGCCTGCCAGCTCACTCGCGAGACACAGTGAATGATAACTAGCAAGAGTCCGAACTTTATCGAGAGGGAATGAGAGAGAGAGAGAGAGAGAGAGAGAGAGAGAGAGAGAGAGCCAAAGAGTTTGGTTAATGAAAGAGCATTGAATAAACGGTGTAATGCAGCCATAACACACGGCTCGAGATAAGTTTCTTTCATCGTTGCGAGTTCGCCTTGAAACTCGTCGATCGGCAATGGCAAAACCAAGCT